TTTATTTATTTATTTATTTTTTGATCTAGTCAAGCGCGCGCTATTTACATTTTTCGCGTTTTTAACATTCAAATGTAACGTTAGCCCTGACACGTAGTTTGTAACGTACCTTAATATAAATTCAATTGTACAACAGTTAAATGCTCATTTGCAACTGAAGATGACTTGAGAATGTCGAAACATGTCTTGTAAATTTAAACTCAAAGTTATTGTTTCTTTTTTGAGAGATGTTCATCAGGAATTAACCCTTCCCCTCTCTCGCAAGGGCTGGAGAGGATCAAAGACATGGCTCAAGAAACACTCAATAAACAGCTAATCTTTTGAGTGTGATTAAAGTTTAGACTCGGAATAAAAGATAAAACAAAATGGCAGAAGTTGGGACTATCGGTTAAATCTTCAAGTCCAAGTCGAGCACACTAGCACTGCCTAATCCCCGTTTTCATCAGCGTTAAGTGACTTAAATGTCGTTACTGTAACCCCTCGTCATATCGTGACGTAAGGTACGTTTCTAGAAAAATCATAACCGAGTTTAAATGTTATTCTTGGATTGCTAACCTAGAGATGAACTTAGAAGCAAGGTCTGTTTTTCTGGGACAAAAATCCAATCATCGTGTCGACGAAACCAAACAGTACTACTCCAAGCTACTCCAAACGGAAGTTAAATAATATTGTTCTGGGTAGTACTCACTTTAAAACGATTGCTGCAATTTGGTTTCAGCTACGACAGTTTTGAGGATTGAGACTTGCGGACAAGTGAGTTCTGCGTTTCGTGTACAAAGGAAAAAAAATCACCCCTCCCTTGCCTTTCTAGGCACCACCACTGTTACCCCCTTTATTCAAAAGCCAGAACACAAGCACTCTTCATAAACCATGCACTCCATACCTGATACCAGCTCGGTTCTCCATTGCGTGTAACACTAAGGCATAACTAAAGAAATTTTGAATGAATTGTCATCATGCGAATGAATTGAATGATTAGCTCCAGAAAAATCAGAACTCGCTCCAGATCTCGCTGTTGTTAATGTTTTCAACGTGGTCGCTATCCCTGAGTGAGCTAGTGTTCTGGTCCCATCAACCGTGCCAGAAGTGTTCGTGGTGCCCCCTGTAAACATCTCTAAAATACGGACAGTGTGAAGAATAACGACTGGGCCAAGGGAAATACCTTACCATAACAAGGTATCAAGGATAAATTCATTCTTTGATAACTTTTCTTTTAAGCACAAAGAGCATGAGAAATTACTACAGGGTTGTGTTGGATAAACGAAAGGGACTGACGTTCTAAAACGGTGATTGACGCGGATGTCGTTACACACGTCGTGACGTCGCGTGACGATTATGTTCGCAATGTATTGTGGTTAGAAGAAGGAATGAGCACGCCTTCAAGATGGCGTGGTAATGTTGTTGTTATTAAATGTTTTGTTTGGAAATGAGCCTTTATTCTGTCTCGAATGATTGAGCGAACCGCGAACTACGAGAACAACAACAGATTGTTAAAATTCGAATATTCTACAGGTGATAAATTAGTGGAGTCGAATGGAAGAGTTGGCTAGTTTCTCTTCCACGGTGGGCAATCGATGAAAACGACAGTTTAGAATCATAAATCGATGAATGTCGATAAAGCAAATCATCTCTGAGCTGTCAATATTTATCGATTTTCAATAATCAACATCGATTTTAGAACCTTAATACGTTGCCGGCAAGTAATCCTGAAGACTGACACGTTTGCGACAAATATAAATTATCCTTCATTGGGCAGGCGCCCATATTTCACTATATCATATCGATTGGACACGATAATAATAATATGAAAATGATTTATGTCTTCCAATCAACTACTTGACGCATGCTTTCACGAGAAGTCGAAAGTTTTATTTTAGCTTCAATCATATTCAGGTATTTTCTGATGTAAACACTGTATCACAGAGGCGATTTTCTGGCGTGCGTCGAAAATAACCGTAGCTAACTCCTCACAAGTCGCGACATCTCCAAACACTTCAGAATGAAAAATACTGTGTTAAGCTAATTCTAAGCAATAAAGTTAAAAAAAAAAAAACAGCGTTAATTTTGGCAACTAAATGTTTCTAATCAATTTTGTCGGTGTTAACGCATACGAAAAATTATCTTCAAGTCTATCATTTCTACCTTGTTGCATGCCAATTGGAGCTGTTTTTAGTTCCAAATGGCTCGTGTTCAGTTATACACTGAAGCTGGGTTCCTGTAACTGCAAAAAGAATTCGTCTCATTTTGAGGTAGCAATTGTGAAATGAATCCGTCGCGGGCACTACTGTCTTCTTTTGCAAAATAACTATCACTCCACAGCTTGGATTTGTTCGAGGAAAAAACCTTTGCCTTTCAAATTGAGTCGGTGCCTTAGTACATTTAATTCTTAGGTGTATACTTTCTCGTTTTCCTTAGGGTTTTCTCGACAGTTACCGCAAGAGAACCACTCACGATTTCCATGACGTGAGCGACTGAGCGGGCTGAAGTTTCTTCTTGAATTTCATCTTCCTGACTTTCTCTCTCTTCCTCCTCAACAGAGTTATCTCCTTCCCCTGAAGACGAGCCATGCTTCGTTTGAAACATAAATGGATGCATTACACCCTCTCAGCTAGATTGAAATCCAAGTGGAGAATTTAAAAAAGTAACCCTCTCCTCGCCGCTGTTTTCCTTGTTTAGTTCCACTTCAGGAGGGATGTAATTTAGCATGTTTGACTATTGATACGTCATAGTTTCGTCATAACAAAGATGGCGGATTTCAATTTAAAAGTGCCGCTTTTTGGAACGGAATTGTTCACAACTAAAACGCTTTTAGCTCAAATTAAAAGCCAGTTAGGACAATACAAGCAAGGAACTTTTGATACAGGTAAACTTCTTCTAACCTGTACTTTCCCTTTAAACACAGCAATCACCGGCTAACCAGTCGACTGTTCACAGCTTTAGTGTTTTGTGGCTTATTTCTAGTTCTTTCGAGTGGCTGAGGCAATATAAGTCTGTTAAATATTTTATTCAGTCACGGCTTCAGGAAAAGTCATCACCTTGAAAAAAAAAGAAGAGAGCCTCTCGCTCTCAGTAAAGGAAGGTAAGAGAGAACCTGGCAACGAGGATGCTGGAGCTTACATTAAAAAGCTGAATTAATCTTACATTATGCATTTCAGGAAAGAAAACTTATTAATAGGAGACTGATCCATGGCTGCTAATGACGCAATTTTCAAATATTTTTAAAATATTTCAATTCCGTACAGAAAGAAAAAATTGTATTTAAAGATCCTTGCGCTCTACTATACAATTTGATTGAGATGAACGAAAATGAATGCTCTTTCACTTCCCTTGCTCGTGAAAGAGAAAGTGGAGAAAAACAGTCTAAAAAACAAACAAAAACATATGTGTTTATTTACTGTTGGCGAGCTTGACTGACTAAAATCCCGCTAGGCGAAGAAGCATTTTTCCCATCCTCTTTCTTGTATGGAAAAACAACTCGCTATGTGGAAATAACAGCTAACAAAACAAGGATCAGTGAGGATTATGGTTAAAATTTTTGCAGATGAACCGTGTGCATTTGCCAACGTTTGTTGATATAGTAAAAAAAAAAAAGTTATTAATCAAAATATAAGGTTTCGGATAACATCTCCAGACCATTTTGAATTGAATACGAAGTTCCTTCACATGTTGTCGAGATTGCATCCCCATAAGGGTAAGCTTTATGATTAGGTAATACCTCTCCGTTAAGTCATTAGGCGGTCGGTTTCAAACCCAATCGCAAGCTGCTAGAAATAACTTCCCGCAGCTGTGTGTGTTGCAAACATCAGAGCGAGGATATTAAAAACTGGATCGATGTAAAGTTCGTGGTTCTTTAGGTGGCCTTAAAAATGCGCAGAAATTATAAAGACAAATGAAGAGATCATGATCGTGGACGATACGAAACAAAGGCTAAAGCTTGAGTTACACCGAAAACTTAGTTCCTCAGCTTAGCGAGGAAAACGCGAACTTTGGTCAGAATATTAGTTTTATACTGCGATAGGGAACTAACTGTAAGCGAAAAGGTCGGCAAGTACAGCCTCGATCAAGTTTGGTGTTTTGGGGAAATTTTTCATTGGAACTGACTACATGCAAGGTTAGTTACCGATATTTCACTTGTACTCTTTTCTCCGTTTCGAAAAACAAATTCTTAACCCCGAAGAAAGGACTAAGTTCGCTGCACTGTAACAGGTGGAGACCAGCGAAGACGAGACTTGGAAGGAAGTCTATTCACCATCAAGCTCATTTTGCTCGCAGTTTAGTTTTTCCTTTTCGAGTTGGTTTTATCGCTTCTACCCGAGTTAAAGCATTCATTGGGCCTGCTAAGATTAGCAGGAACGCTACAACTGCGAATAGTTGGCTAAATCTTTTGGATTCAAGCTTTTCAGCTCAGTTCACTCTTCAAAAGCCAGTCTTTTGTAGACCTCATCGCCACTCCGGTGGTATTCCATTACGTTCAACACTTTCACAATAATAAAAGAAATACCAGATGAGTTACTACAGAACGAATAACTTGAAGTAATTATTGAAATGCCGACTCACAATCGGTCTGACGCTCGCTTTAGTCTTTCTAGCGCAAATTTACCTTGTCCCCTCCCCCACAACGCCGCTAAATTGTCAGACCTATGGTTTTCTGATCAGTTACGAGTTTTTCCGCCTAGCTAAGACAGGCGAGTCCTTAAGCTTACCGGTATGAAAGGGATCTTTATATGACGCTTTGAGTGAAAAGTTGAGCCGCAACAACAGACCATTCCTTGATAAGGTAAAGTATTATCAATCGTTTTCTTTAGATGTAGTCCTTTTCGATATAGATCGAGACGTTTCGACTGCATGTATACTGCTGGCTAGTGTCCTCG